AGGTGATATTTACATGCAATCAGTTTCTCCTCTCGGCCAGTGGTTCCATAGACACCCATAATGTCCTGAAACGCTGGCCTGAGGAGGGTCACGGCTGTCTCCATCTTTATCCACACGGTTGGCCCCCCGCAGCACCTGGTGTTTTGACTTCATGACCACAGTGGTGTACATGTCCCCATCCCGTCTGGCTGAGGAGCCATTTCAGCCCGGCCTCCTCCACTCACCTGCTCTTCATGGCCCTGAGGTGCTGGCCTGTCTTTCCAGTGGCTCTTCTCCATCCTGCAGCTTTGGGTCAGCTGAGTTGCCTAATGGCCCTAAAGTTCTCTCAGACTTGAGAGCTGTTTTTTTTTGTTCCATCTCCAGGGAGACGGTGCTACAAGGTAATGCAGCTGCCCCGCCTCATCCTCACCCCCGCTCCTGCCCCACAAATAACTGCTCTGAGCAATTTTTATTTTTTATTATTTTTTTTTTTGAGGCAGAGTGTCCCAGGCTGGAGTACAGTGGCGCCATCTCGGCTCACTGAAAGCTCCACCTCCCGGGTTCACGCCATTCTCCAGCCTCAGCTTCCCGAGTAGCTGGGACTACAGGAGCCCGCCACCAAGCCCAGCTAATTTTTTTTTTTTTTTGTATTTTTAATAGAGACGGGGTTTCACCGTGTTAGCCAAGGTGGTCTCGATCTTCTGACCTTGTGATCCGCCCGCCTCGGCCTCCCAAAGTGCTGGGATTACAGGCGTGAGCCACCGCTCCTGGCCTCTAAGCAATTGTTTCTTAGGGTCTTGGCTGTCCCATTCCCTAAAATGTGCCTCCACTACTGTTAATCGGTGTTTCCATTTCTTTGTCAGCTACTCAGTGCACTTTTGCACAGGTGTTTTGTGTGTGGGACGCAGTCTCGCTCTGTCGCCCAGGCTGGAGTGCAGCGGTGCAATCTCGGCTCACTGCAACCTCCGCCTCCCAGGTTCAAGCGATTCTCCTGCCTCAGCCTCCTGAGTAGCTGGGATTATAGGCGCCCGCCACCTCACCCAGCTATTTTTGTATTTTTATTAGAGACAGGGTTTCACCATGTTGGCCAGGCTGGTCTCAAACTCTGACCTTAGGTGATCCGCCTGCCTCGGCCTCCCAAAGCGCTGGGATTACTGACGTGAGCCACTGCACCTGGCCACGTTTGGTTTTCCCTTAGCCTAGAAACCTGCTCGCGGCTGACGGTGGGGTGCTCTGTGGTCCCATCTCCTAACACAGCTCTGTCTTCTCTGTGCGACGGCAGCTGCTGCGTTTGTTTGCCTGGTTTTGTGTGTCCAGGTCGACCCCACCTGGATCCGATCATCCACAACCCCAGGTTGCTGGAGCTGCCAGGGAGCCTCGTGCCAGTGCAGCCTGACCTGGGAACAGAGGCTGGGCCCAGCTGTGCCTCGGGGTTCACTGTGCCAACTCTCTGCTTCTGGGCCTGCCTTTCTCTTTCTTGGTGGTGTGGTTTGGAGAAGTCCTGCCTCCGGTTGTTTCCTGAGCCGGTCCTGGGAGGTAGCATGCTGCGGCCTTGCAGGTGTGAAATGTCTGTAGCCTCCCTCCGCCGAGGGGCAGCCTGGCCTCCCTGGTGTCACAGGTGCAGAGCCTGCCCTTGAACTGCAGCTTTTGTGTGACTGATCCTGTGTGTGCAATCGGCTTTGCTTGAGGTTTTAGGGTCTCTGCTCCCTCCCAGCTGCACTGGGCTGTGCTGGGGGCACTAGGGGCCTTTTTAGGCCTCGGGCTTGTGGCCTTCATGGTGGGGTCATCCTCTCGTGCTCTCTGTTAACTTCCCCATCATCGTCCCTTTCTGTTGCTCCTGTTAATCAGATGTTGGTCCTCCCAGATGAGGGGTCGGTCTTCTTTTTTTTGAGAGTTTCACTCTTGTTGCCCAGGCTGGAGTATAGTGGTGTAGTCTTGGCTCACTGCAACCTTCGTCTCCCAGGTTCAAGTGATTTTCCTGTCTCAGCCTTCTGAGTAGCTGGGATTACAGGTGCACGCCACCACACCCAGCTAATTTTTTGTATTTTTTTTAGTAGGGATGGTGTTTCACCATGTTGGTCAGGCTGGTCTCGAACTCCTGACTGGGTGATCCATCCGCCTCGGCCTCCCAAAGTGCTGGGATTACAGGCATGAGCCACTGCGCCCAGCCCCTTGCTGGCGTTTGCATCCATGTGGAAGGGATGAAGCGTGCCCCATGGTCACACCACCCCCTCCTGTGGTCTAGGGTCCCCACCTTCCTCCTGACCTGTTCTGTCTTGCGGTCCCCAGGCTTCTGTGCTGCTGTACCCCGCAGGGTCCTCCTGCTTCCCGAGCCTCCCCACTCCACATGGCCCCTGCCCAGCCCTCTCCATCCCTCTTGAAGGTGGTTCCACAGCCAGACACCGCCCCTCCGGCCTCTCCTCTAGGGCTTGCTACCCACCTCCATCCCCTGCTTCCACTACCACCTGATGTGCCCACGACGCCCCAGGCTGCCTCCCCACCTCTGTGGCCCCTGAGCCTGCACGGAGGAAAGGGTATTCTCTGGGCAAGGCACTGCCACCCCACAGGGTCCTCCCTCTCACCACATCCAGGACAGTGGACGCTGCTCCTACCTCTTCCTCACAGTCCTCGGGTCACCTCTCTACCTGCCCAGCTCTCGGGGGCCACCCCTCTCAGCCCGATCCAGCTCCCGAGCAGCTTTGTCCCCTGAGGGCCCTGGGTCGTTCCTCTGACCCATCAGGCACAGTGCACCCTGCATGCGAGCCTGGGCGGACGCTGGGGACGGACGCCTGACGCAGCAGACAATGCCTCCCTGAAGGCATCGCAGCGTGGGACGCTTGGCCTCCACCTGCAGGGGCCTCACCTCAGCAGTCCCCAGCCTCAGGAGAGGGACCACCCCAGCAGCTGGAGCCCCAGTGGAGTTGGAGGGATGGTAGCATCTGTGTCCTGAGCTCCGGGGCCACCTCACTGTGAGGAGGGGGTGTAGGCATCGCGGGAGGTCTCACCTCAGGGCCATGCTGATCTTGGCTCTGAGAGCTGGTGTCCTCTGCTCCTCCCTTCCCATTTCTCAACAGGAGGCCCAGAGTTCTTGAAGACGCCCCTGGGGGGCAGCTTCTTGGTGTACGAGTCCTTCCTCTACCGGCGGGAGAAGGCAGCCGGGGAGAAGGTGTATTGGACCTGCCGGGACCAGGCCCGCATGGGCTGCCGCAGCCGCGCCATCACCCAGGGCCGGCGCGTCATGGTCATGCGCAGCCACTGCCACCAGCCCGACCTGGCAGGCCTGGAGGCCTTGAGGCAAAAGGAGCGACGCCCCAACATGGCGCAGCGGGGGAGCCCAGGTACCTGGGGTTGGGCGGGGAGCTGGGCCGCAGAAAGCAGGCAGGAGCCCCACACTGCCTTTC